TATATGTTAATGAATAATTTTCATCGATGTATATATAAGTAAGCTTTTTCAAATTAAATTATGAATCAAGAATCGTTTGTATTTACTTTAAAAAATTGTCAAATTATGATTTTTTTACCAGAATATGCCTGCTGGTCGGATTAGCGTAGTATTTCGGCGAGGCCGGTGAAAAATTGAGGCGTCCATTGTTTTTAATGCCGGTACGTGACGTCGTCCTTAATGCCGCGGACACTGTAGGCTGTATTATACCGTATTTTTACATAAATACTATATTATCTGTGCAAAGCTTCTGACAGATTAAGAAGTGAATAAATAAAAAAAATTGCTTTTGTGCGAATTAAAAAAAATATGACTACATAATTTTCCTTTTGGATTTTAGGCAGAGCCCATAAAAAAAATACTGATATCAATAGTTATTATAATAAAGACGAACTAGCATTGACCGCGGCTCCGCCCGCGTTATATGACAAAAAACCAAATACTTAGGTTTTACATATTAGTATACTCTTACAATGCAGTTTTTGTATTTTTTTTCTCAGAAATGAGATATTTTCCCGCGGTAAAAAGTATCCTATATGTTGACCCGGATATCCAGCTATAATCATACCAAATTTCAACAAAATCTTTCCAGTGGTTTTCTCGTGATACGGTAACAGACAGACAGACAAAAATTCTAAAAACTATAGATTTGGACTCAGTATCGATAATAATATCTATTTCCATTAAATTTTCCAAAAAATATTTGATATACAGATTCGAATTAGTTACAATTGTATTATATGTATAGAAGTGTTTGTCCTTCTATTACATAGATGAGAAAATATGTATTGATGTGACTTTTTACGTATGCATATTCTTATTTTCTTTCATGGTCTATTCAATGGGACATTTTAAAACTTCAATCTATACTAATATTATAAAGAGGGTTTGTGAGTTTGTGAGTTTGTACGGGGTAATCTCTGGATTTACTGGAACGATGTAGATGAAATTTAGTAAGAAGATAGTTTGAGACCCTGAGAAGGACAAAGGATATTTTTATCTCGGAAATCATCCCTTAAGAGGGTGAAAATGGGGATGAAAGTTTGTATTGGGAAGCAAGCTAGGGACGAACCCCAGAGAAGTTACGGTGAGTCCCTAGTATATTCATGATAACAATTCAGCCTTACTCTCGCATTTGGGTACTACCGCAGAATGAGAAAAAGATCAGGTCATACTTCACCATGATGATATATAAATAAATCAGATTTTTCACGTTTTTAAACCTAAATAGGTTTTATCAAACATGCAGGTTTCCTCACAATATTTTTCTTCACTGTATGCAAGGTAATCTTGATAAAAAATATTGGCATATGAAATTTAATAGCTGCGAGACTCAGGCTTGACTCCGCTTCACTTGGCTTTCCAAGTTCACTATAAATAGGATCTAAGCAACGTAAACTTTAAAAGCTACAAAAATCTATGTTACATCTAAGCGAAATCACGGTTTTAGATAGGTACCTGCTGCTTGTATTTTAATACAGTTTTTTTATATAAACAATTATCATCAGACGAGAGAATCAAACCTACTAACTATGCGCTAGTAGGCTATGGTCGTTAAATTAAACAGTGAAAGGTTTTCTATCCCTATTATATGATCATATATATCATATATAAGATGTTGATCAGAATGATCTAGTGCCGCTTAAAGGAATTTAGCCTTGCTTCCCCTTTTCCTTGCTAGACATGCTTCCCCTTAAATTACCTATTTTAAAATTCATGGCCAAAAATTAGATTTTCCTTGAAAGATATAATATGTTATCAGAATATGAACTAATTATAAAGCCGATAAAATTTTGTACGGTCTACATCCTTCCTGTCCCTGAGATCAATTCAAAATAACACTAATTTTATTAATATAATTATATTGTTACTAAGTACTAAAATACGAGGTTTCAATAGTAGGTAGATTTTTTTTGAGTCTTTTACGAAAATATGTTGATTTATCATGTTTTAAAGCTCCCTCCAAAGCAAGGTTCAAAAACTTTTTTTTTAAAGGTCGCTCAAAATTTTTAAGAATTTCCAAAATCATTTAAAATCGTTTTTTTTCTTTTTTTTTCTCGTTATTTTACTATTTTCTTCTATAAAAATGATTAGGATTCTGAAATTTTTCAGTCGATATTTTAATACTTAAAGGTCACTCAAGATTTTTTTAAGTCTCAAGTTTCCAACCTTAGAACTTTTCGAGCGACTTCTGAACATGAATAATATTCATGACATTTGGAAATTTATTAGTGAAAATCGTTTCGATTTCTTTTTGCATTTCTCTAGCCTTGTTTCTATTCTTTAGTATGTCAACTTCAAAAAAAAGTATTTAATATTCATGTTCAGAAGTCGCTCAACGATTTTGGTTTTTTTTTAATTTTGAGCGACCTCTTAAAAAAATTATTTTTGAACTGTGCTTTGGAGGGGGCTCTAAACTAACATATTTTCGCAAGAGACTCGAACAAAATATTTGTTTTTAGGCCACCCTAGTATGTACCTACATATATTATGTTTATATTTTAATGTTTAAACTGAGAAATTAAAATGAATTAAATAAAAATTACATTCTATGCTATTTGTATTATATGTATACTATACATACTATTTATGTACTAACAATAATTGATGATGATGTTTTCCCGACCGATTCCGACTACGGCGGCCAATCTCATTAAGACTAGCCAACTGCGCAGGAGATATTATAGCGCACTAGTGTACGCGCAGACACAACGTGCACTCTCTATTCTTCTCACTGTCATACTCCGGTGGGACGACTGCTCGACACGACCAGTGAGAATTAAGACGCAGGATCGACGGCTTTACGTGCTCTCCGAGGCACGGGGGTGAAACACCGCCAACTTCCCAACTCCGGGCTGTTATTGAGGCTTAATATACAGAAAGACTCAATAACTAAACTTGGCCCGACCCGGGACTTGAACCCAGGACCTCCGGGTGGGCAGCTGTACATGCTCCCCCCAACACCACCGAGGCAGTTAAAAACAATAATTATTATTAGTCTAGTCAAATACCTACCTACGTTTTAGGAATCTTATGCTTTAGTATTTTAGAAAAGATTCTATTTCATAACTTGGAAGATAAGACTATTATATTTTGAAAATCTCTTAAAGTATACATAGGTACAGTTTAAAATTGTAAAAAATAATGAATTCCTCATAATATATAATGTCCTTTATTTGATTATGTCAAAGGATAAGCTCATTTTGGTAGCAACTACTGAATTGCAGCGTTATCTATTTATTAAATTAAAAAAATAAGCGTGAAAGACAGACAAACAGACAGACTAGGTATCTGTTTGGTTGTCCTATATAAAGAATCTGTTTTTGACATATGCTAGATTGCCAAATACTATAAGCTAAAACAACCTTTTTGCTAATAGGTGATTTCTCTTAGAAAATGTAAAGCTAGAGAAAATGTGGAAGATTTTTTATTTAATATTTTATCTATATAAAAAATATACTTTAGACATTATTAAGAACTCAGAACAGATTCATTGATAAGAAGAAAAACACGTAACAATAAAACTTTTGAGTATAAAATGAGAGAGTGATTACTGTAGAAGGAGAATAAGATATTTTCGATAAAAATCCATCAACTAAACTATAACTGTACAAAAGCAAAAGGTTAATAATAGAGTTATTTAAGTTATATAGTTTATCTATACATATGTTATATCAATACCTATGTCCTTCCCACAATCTCCAAACTATCTCCATACCAAATTTCGTCTAAAACGGTTCAGCGGATTAAGCGTGAAAGGTGACAGACAGGCCGAGTTACTTTCGCATTTATATATTAGTATAGATTTAAATTAATATTATTTTTAATTTATTTACATTATGTTAAATCTCATGAATATTGTGATAGAAAACTATAAAGCATCTATTATGTTGGAAAAATCAGCCGCAAAAAAAGTGAAAATAAAAGCAGAAAATCAGAAAAAAAAGTTTATTAACATTTTTTTCTATGCTTAATGAATGCTCTACGATAAAGTACACTACTCATAATAAAATTGTATTAACACTAAGTCTCATACCTAGTATGTAGCTATTTGTTTCGGACGGGAATCGAACACACGACCTAAGCATAGGTACCTACATAGTCCAATTATATCTCAGTTGTATAACTAATGCAGTTATTAACATAGAAACTGTTTATGATATTATATGCGAAAATGATGTTCTTAGTAAATAAATAAATAAAAATATCATTGTGTCTTTATAAGACTATTTTATAAATCGACTTTGGATATTTAACATGCAATCAATTACTTTATTAGAAGTTTCAATTTTCTTTCTGGAAAAATAATATATTTATTTAAATTAATGGTATTTAATAATAAAATAACTGAACCGTATATAAAAATAATAAATATATTAACACGTAAAACAATAAACCTATAGAAAATCTCTTATCTCTTTATATTGTAATAAGTTACATCACACTATGTTATCGTAAAATTATTTATTCTTACATAAGTATATACATATTTTGTATAAAATAACTTAATATACCTACTTCTTTTAATTATTAAAGAACAAAAACCAAATTCATACTAATTAATAAAACTATATATTCATCTACAATACTTGTTATTAATAATAAGTAAAAAAGAACCAAAAAGTACCAAAATTGCATAAAAAGAACCTAAAATAAAACCATGAAATGGGTCGCGAATAAATGCATGCCGGAACAATAAAATCTATCAGGAATCATATTATTGTGTTACCTATACAAAGTGATTGTCACGCGTATGGCGGGGGGTCTGGGCGGGGCTTGGTTGACCACGCCCCAAAACGTTAATAAGGTCGAAAATACAGTGAAATCGTTTGTAAATTCGTCTTTATAAACGTAAAAGCCGATGGAGAGCTACCGTAGAGTGCCTTAATAGATATTCGTTTCTCGCGCCGCTCGCACGTCGGTATTTTTGTGTGTTATGTTATTTGTTTGGTTAAATTACGATGGAAATAAGTGCGATGCCGCCGATGCCTTTGGACTTTTCTATGGTTAGAAGTGGTAATTCCCCGGGTGAAGGATCGCCAAGGCCGAGCAACAGCGCTTTCAGAGTTGTCACCCCAAAAGGTAGGTTAAACTTCTAAGCTTTTTCACTTTAGCTTAATATTGAAGAAGTTTTGGAACTAATACTGAGTGTTGTCAAATGTTATTAAAAGCTCCATAAAGTTTTTGGTGTGTAGAGTTAGAATAGTTGTATCATTTTCATTTGTGAAATAGTTAGATACCTGTTAATTATAATTTTAACTTTAAATATTATATGGTATTAAAATGGAATTTCAGAATTTTCATTAAGTTTCATTTAATATTTGTTTTTCGTACACATAGTTCTTTTCTAGTTAGAAACCACTTTCTTATTAAAATACTTTATATATGTACTCCATTTACAAATTTAGAATCGCACTTTAGTTAACTGCTAATATACAATCTATATACAAAAATAACTTGACAACAAAAATTGCAAATTATACTCTGCATTCAAAGTCTCTATAAGAAGATACTTATTAATTTTTAATTTTTTAACAATATAACTTAATAATGGATGTACAAAGGAAAAAAAATATTTATAAGGAATTATCGAATAGTTAAAAAAAAACCAAACTTCTAAAAAGCATAAATATATATTAATAATTAATACAACTTATACATTCTCTAAAGTTGTACAAAATTTTAGAAAATAATAATGTAAGGGATAAGTGAAGCCATACTTCTATACTTAATTCTTAATTTTCTTTTGTTTATTTAATATAAAATATCGATTGTTATACTTTCTACATATTTCTAATTCAACCATTTTTGAGCCTTCAGTTGTTTTATTATAAAAAAAATAGTTATATAATGGATATTACAAAACAATTTGAATAATCATATTCAATATATGAAATTCTATTAAAGTTATTTATAAAGTTTGTAAAGCTTTGTTTATTTTTTATTTGTCATTTGTGTACTTATTTCATTGCTTGGTCACGGATTCGATTCTTGCTTGAGGTAAATATTTTTATATTGCATTAAAAAAAGTGTTATAAGTAACATATGTTTGGTCTGAGAACTTTCAACAAAATTTCCCACTTCAGTTTGTGTGTTGAGCGCTATTTCTATCATTTCCTTTTAGTGTTTTTGACAAATAAATATAACAGACGAAATATTTTCTATTAATTATTTAAATTATTATTATTGTAACTTTTCAATTTGAACAAGTACCTAACTACCTAGGCCCAGTTTAGGTATCTTTATAGAACCTAGACAAAAAGTACCAGTTTTCTTTTGCCCATAATCTATCTTTATGAAAGAAAAATGGCGTTAAGATGGAAGAACCAATAATCACATTTTTTTATGAGCAAGACTGATCGAATGGTACGATATAACAATATTAAAGAGTCCTTATACATACATATAGGTATTATTTTAAAATATAATCTATACATAACTACTTATAATAAAATTGTAACTGATCGCTGTCTGTGCGCGGAAGATATTTGAGAAAAACTAATATTGAGGGTCTTTATTAACGGAATAGAACCCAAAACAATAATTTTAGAATTTTTGTCTGTTTGTCTGTGGTTTTGTGCGCGCTAATCTTAGAAAGGGTCTAACCGATTTAGGTGTGGTTTTTACTTATATATTGTGGTAAGCTTCACTTAACCTTTAGTATTTCTTTGATATCTCAATAAAAATTGTTTCATAAATTTAAAAAAAATATGTCAATTTGAAGAATCACCTAAGAAAGAACCCGAGCGAAGTGAGTGAGTCGCTAGTATATAGACAAATCATAATGTTAATAGTAAAATCGATTTTTGGATTGATATTTTTTTCCTATTGGACAATTTCTGATGCATGCTAGGGCTATGTATTTCAAGCTAACATATTTCGTGGTACGCATCAGTTTAGTATTTTTACTGCGTCATGTAGATAGTGAGTTCGATTCCCGTACATTCGTCGTACCTTAAGTAATATTTAGCAAACTTTAATTTGCTTCACCATTATGTAACTAGTAAAATAAAACAGAAAAGTATACCTATAAACAAAAAGAACGCGATTTTAGCGCACTACTAATAGCCGTGTGGGCTTTGAATTTTGCAAGTGTAATTCGAGCTGATATACTTACCTAGTAACAAAATTCTTCTTTTTTTTTTAAATTTTGATCGTACGTATTTATTTTATATTTTCGCCTTTTATTTTTAAAGTATAGAAGCGAGGCTCGTCTAAAGTCATATAAATTACAACAAAAAATCCCATTCGAGAGTAAAAATTTTAGTTTTAGAGAGCTTTTGACGCTGATGTACTTACTGTTTTAATTATAATAAACATAATTTTTTGTTAGTATTGATTTTGAGACAAAAACAGTACAAATTTTATTGCAGTCATACTCGTATACATACATATTTAGTTGTATATATATAGTTACTTTTATATCTAACAATATGTAAGTATATTCTAGTTAGATAAAATAACAATCTATGATCCACTCTGCTGAAAAAATCGACTAAAGATCATTTGCACTCGTTTTCAATGACTTACAAGTTTTACCTTTTATATTACAAATTTTACCTCTTTATATTAATAGGTAAATGTAAGAAATCTATACTAATATTATAAAGAGGTAAAGTTTGTGAAATTGTGAATTTGTGACGTTGTAGGGGGTAATCTCTGTATCTACTGCACCGGTTTAGATGAAATTTGGTAAGATGATAGTTTGAGACCCTGGGAAGTACATAGAATACTTTGTATCCCGGAAATCATCCTTTATAGGGATGAAAATGGGGATGAAAGTTTATATAGGGAATCAAGCTACCCCCCCAACGTGCGTTCACCTTGTCGTGGTGGGGGGGCTCAGTAGTAGTAGCGAAGTTAAGAAACGCACAGGGAGGTTGCCCACTTCGGTGGGCGGTGGGAGGTGGCCCTCTTCGGGGGGCGGTGTACCTTGCGGGTTGCTCCTGGTACTTCTCTGATAGCAGAGTGGACCTTGGAGCAACCCCATGGTTGTGGTGGTCTGCTTTGGCAGACCTGCCGTCGGGGCGTCGTAGTTGAATGCGTAAGCGATCCTGCGTCGCCCCATTAAGACGGGGGAAGGTTTTGTTGGGTTTTAGTGGGTAGTACTGGCTGTATTACGCCGGTGAGCCCCACACGTCGTGCGTAAATGCATTTCCCAAAGTTAAAAAAAAAAAAAAAAGGGAATCAAGCTAGGGACGAACCCAAGCGAAGCGAGGGTGAGCTATTAAGGTAATATTGTAATAATAAAACTATTTGAAATTATCTCTTGATTGTTCTTTAATAACAGGCATAGATTATGAATATGAATTAAACCTATTTTAATTTAACATTTTGAATTTTTGTTCAGTTGAGCTTTATTTAAATACTAGCGGCTCACCGTCGCTTCTCTCATGTTCGCCTCTAGAAAAACAAAAACAAATCTATCCCACGGGAACCGTATATTTTTCTGGGATAAAAATAGCTTATAAGTTATTCTGATGTATGAGCTATATTATTGTAAAGTTTTATTAAAATTCACTCAGTAGTTTTTGCGTGAAAGTGTAACAAACATCCATACATCCTCACAAACTTTCGCATTTATAATATTAGTAGGTTCGTAATCACTAAAAGTAAATAAAACCTTTCCTATTCTCAATTGTGACAATAATAAAATAGTGTAATTTTTTATCATTGGTTTTCCGCTAGAAGTGAGCAAAAATAGAAAATTTTGCCTTAAAACTATTTGCCTACTACGAAACTACAAAACCGATTTACCGCAAGCGTTTACCCTGTGCGAGAAGCTTTCAGCGTACTAAAAATTGCTAATTAGAATTAAGTAGTTAATAAAAAATCTATACATATAATAAAAATGTAATTAATCCGAATCTGTGCAATAAATATTTTTTGGAAAATCTTCTTGAAATAGTCATTATTATCGATACAAGGGCCGAATATACAATTTTTCGATTTTTTGTCTGTCTGTCTGTCTGGGAACGCATCACAAGAAAACCACAAGACAGATTTCGATGGGTATGATGATATCTGGTTATCTGGGTCAACATATAGTATACTTTTTACTGCGAGAAAATATATTATCTCTGAGAAATCTATACTAAACGTTAAAACGTAAGTAGAGACGACCCCGAGCGGAGCGAGGGTGAGTTGCTAGTGCTAAAATAAATATTGTATTATTATATTTATGCTTTTCTTGGAAAAGCATATATCTTTGTTCAAGAGGTTTTAGTAGATAAAAATGTGTGAAAATAAAATGAATTGATTATATAGGGGATAGACATTAATTTGTATTAAGAGCACTGTAACTGTGAAGTAACGTGTTCAGTTTGTCGCCGGTTCTTCTCAGCAGAACTGCCATCCGAATCAATGGTAGCTATCGTACGAAAGATGACTTGGACTCTCTTAAAAAGGTGACTGTACAAAGTGACTCGTAAAATTCTTACTGAATACAGTACTGTTTTATTTACGCAGTCATATAGTACTTATAAGATAAAATATGAAAAAAATTGCTTAATTAATATGTTTTTTTGTGAAAATGCTACAAATCATGAATCTTTTTTTATTGAATAGATATAATTCCAAAGGTATTCCCATACCTATATAATTTAAGAAAAAAATCCGGTACTTAAAGTAAAATAACTAAAATAATTTAAATGTCAGTACTTACCTACTTTGACTCATACTTGCTTCGCTCGGGTTCGTCCCTAGCTTGATTCCTCATACAAACTTTCATCCCCATTTTCTCCCCCTTAAGGGATGATTTCTGGGATAAAAAGTATTCTGTGTCCTTTCCAGTAGATCCAGAGATTAACACTTACAACGTCACACACTCCCAAACTCACAATCTCACAAACTTTACCTCTTTATAATATTCGTATAGATAATATTCAATGTTCCCGTAATCCTCATTAATATTATAATTGCGAAATCACACCTCTGATATTTTTATGTGTAAAACATTCTTAAAATAATTTTTACTTGCTTTATAACGAAGAAAATTCTGAATTTCTGAGAGTTTCTCACTTGTTTTCTAAGGAAATGTGAAGTCCACCAACCCGTACTTAGCCAGCATGGTGTACTATGGC